ATAGAATTACTTGTCGATGTTATGCTTTGTAAATGGATTTTCTCTTCTATGTCCTTGTACCTTTGAACTGTTCTTGACGTAACACTGATAGCAACGCTGTTATGCTCTCGTACGAGCTGCATGACAACACCACATATTAATTTATTGTAAAGAGCATAATCTGCTCAAATGGAAATGATTTTCGTGAGTTGGAGTTAGTGTCATTTAGAATTTCTTGAAATATTTAACGACTGGTAAATCTGGCCTTCTTTGAAGGTCGGACCTTAGAGTTATGCCAGTGAAGGGAATAAAAACGTGTGATTAATTCTGAGAATGCTAGTTCGAGTATTTTACAAATATACTACATCAATACGATGCGGAAGTGAGAGCAAAATTACGTTTATCTTCTAATTACCCATCATATCGTTACGTTGTTGTTGTTATGACTACGAGTTCACTGTGGCACAGCGCTTAAAGCTCGAAGCTAATCGAATAGGAATAGACAGGCAGTGAAACCAAAATGGCATTCTTAAGGATTTGTTACATAACGTGCACAGACTTACATGAGGAAATCTTGATAACAGCTTCAGTCACGAAAAGAATTTTTACGACTGTTTGTAATCTGATTGCTAAGCGTAAAAAAACAACAACAAAGAGTGAAGCTCTCATTGATTTTTCAGCTCAATTCTGTGGCCATATATGATAGTTCGAAAAAGTTCGTGTAATTGTACATAATCCGGTAGGTGTGTTCCATCTGGCTTATGTGGGACTACCACATGTTTTATATCTGTTGCGGTATTTATCACTTTGTAAATCTTTATTTTGTCATTAGGATTTTGTTTGAGGTTTACCTCAAGTTGATTTTTGCATTTCCTGCTGTGTCAAGTGGGAGTATTCCTGTTCCCCTTCTCTCCCTAGCGTGATTCTTCTACAACTTCATTTCGAAGCATGACAAAGTCTTCTGATTTCTTATCATATCTTTCTTTTAACTCTTACTGCTTGCATTCCTAAGCAACGCCAATTATTTATTACTAACTTTCATGACGGATTTACGATGTCGAATGAAACCGCATGTTTCGAAGACAAACAACGCGTATCAATACCTATCTATCTGAAGCACTTACATAAGCAGTCTTATAGAGAAAGTTCGCATAGTCAAAATTGCGACTCGGAGGATGGTCTATACCAGCAAATAGAGGTTAAATCGCTAATCCAGATATACCCTCTGTATTCACGAAGCTTTTCGCAGAAAGGTTGTGAGCTATCTTAGGTTAAATTTGCGCACATTCTTACATCACACATCACACGTAGGCTTAGGCAAACCACTTATTAAGCACTGTAACGTTTTCAAGTGTTATCCACAGGTCGTCATTACCTTATAGCCACAATGCCATTATATATGTAAAAAATCCATAACTTCGTATAGAAAAACGCATCGCAGGTATGTTTGAGATCAGCGTTTCAAAGGCAGCTTACCGGCAGAACTGCGTGTTTTTCACTTTTTCACATTTTCGAGGACTCCTTGTCATGAGAAACCCATATCTTAGCTTTTCAGAGCATGAAAGTGGCCAAAATGAGCTTTTCTCAAAGCTTTCCAGTCCGCATTCATTGGAAAATACGTGTAAGTGGCCGGAGTCCGAAACGAGGAAAGCGGGGGCGCGAAAGTCTTCCAGCGTAATTTTATTGAATGCGGACCTGAAAAGTCTTGATAAATTCTCATTGTGCCATTTTCATGCGTTGAAAAGCCCAGATATGGGTTGTTCTCATGGCGAGAAAACCCCGAAAAGGTAAAAAATGGGAAGTCTGCCGGGACAGCCTACAAGTTGTATCAGCTGGTGTAGATCATCTTCCAAATCGCCACTCCGACCAAGCGAGCTTCATTTGTAAAATAAGTATGCTATCAAATAATTCTCAAGTGGTGTTTTCATGAGACTCATTTTGCATTTTTGTTATAAAATTGTGCGTATTTGCGTACCTCTTCAGAAATTCTTAATTTCAGCATGGCCACGGAAGATGTGGTGAGTGTTGATTGGCTGGATGATAACAAAGTAAGTTTCACTTGTAGAAAAAATTTCAATATCTCGGGTTTCATGTCATATCTTACCTCCCCCTCCTATCTGTACCCTGAATTGTTCTATATGAAAATACCCTTACAATCTCAGTCTTCGGACGAATTTCGCAGGAGTTTGTGCATTATTCCTCCTAATGTCTATCTAGGATCATGTGGTTATATTGGATGCGACGTATGATATGAAAGTTAAACCCGATTACAAAGAGTTCAAACAAAAGTACTATGGGAAGTTCGATGATTTAATGAATATCAAGGTGAGTTTCATGTTTTCGTAGATTATGGTAGACGTATACGGAGCAGATATCAGGTATGGGGAGGGGGGAATTCCTGCAATACTTTCTTCAATTTTAGAAAGCCCAAAATCTTCTTGGAATCTCTAGATCTGCTCCACATGTAGGGCACGATGGTGCTAATACCATAACATAGCTGATGTCGCAAATAGCCAGCAGCCAAATAGCCAGCAAGCTTACGACAGTTTTGTGAATACGAAGGTTTTTTTTGAGTTTTTTCAGCTTTTTTCTTCGATTTTTTCCGCGCGTAAATGTGTGTCTCTTTATTTGTATTCTAGCACTATCGCCCATACAGCACCCTGGTGGCTTTAACATGTTTATGAGGAGTGAAAAATACATCTAAAAATTGAAGTTTTTCGTCAGAGTTATTTTAAAGGTTTCCTCAGATGATGTTGGAGAAGTTGACAACGGGTTGGCTCTTATTACGAACAAGTTTCAAGAAAAGAGGACGCATTAGCATTGCTATGTAATACTAGAGCAAAGATCACTTGTAAACTCGCATACAAATAAAATTTTATAGGAAACCTGTGGCTCACTGGAATACTCTTCAAGTGCTTCCAGTTGTGCTGAAAGCATGCTGAAGCCAAATCTAGGCTTTTCAGCGCAGGAAAATGGCACAAATGAGCTTTTTTGAAGCTCTTCGTGTCAGCGGCCGCTGCAAATTATAGTAGACGCCACCTGTCTAGTCACCTCCTGTAACTGCACACAAAAAGCACTGACGTCTTATTCAGTAGAGCAAAGGTGTGCTACTTGCATTTTTGAAGTGTTCTCTACCGAAAACTTCCCTGGTCGGCCATATTTCGTCGAATTAGCGCTTAGCGAAGTCATTAAATGTC